TTCTGCTATTTGAGAATTAGTTGCTCTTGTCTACCTTTCTCTGACTTCTACCTGCTAGGATTTTAGAAACTGATTCAGCCAATTCTATTAAATTTAACATTACAAACATTTACTGAATATCTCTTAGGAGTCAGGCATTGAGGAGGGCACTTGAGATATAAAGTGAAAATTTGCATACCCTTGAATAGCTCACAGCCAAGTGAGATGAATAAACTCTGAAGCTAAGAGAGCCTGCCATTCCATTCTGAGTGTTACTCCACCTGACTTATTAGGGAAGGTGTTTCGGTGATCACAATTTGGTTCCTTTGTCTTCTCTAGCAGCAAACTTCAGCTTCCCCACCTCCAGACTTACATACTGAGACTAGAGGTAATGCAGGAGGGGACGAGGCAGCACACCTGACGATGAAGTATTTCCCCCACTAATGCTAATACTGCGGGGTAAAACATGGTGGCTAGATAATCTTGATATTTTATTTATCATGTTCTTCTATTTTCCAGTTTCAAATAAGGCATTTCTATAAGGCTCAACTAATGGGGGAGAAAAATTAACTGGAAGAGGTGGGAGAAAATGCCATAAATTTGAAGAATGAAATTGCTTCTCATTGTGCAGCCCATGGAGAACAAAATTAAGTTGGAATTATGAGAATTTTAACAAAATGTTTCACGTTGTAGCCTGTAAGACTCCCCTTTTCCTATAGATAATGAGTTTTTACAGGTTCAATTGAACATCTAATAAATAATGGCTAAATAAAACTCGGGTCTGTGGCTGACAGAACTGAATAAAACAGTTGGTGGGTTGAAATTAGATGACCAGTTTGTAGTGTCTGGTAGCTAATACACTGGTGTGGATTTAATGCCCATCTGACTCATTGCAATACTACATAGGAAGTGAGACTCTGTAAAGAAAACATTGCAACAGAAGTGAGGTCGAATTTTATTGGAGGGAATTTGCATTCTTGTGAAGATTTCATTTTATCAGAAATATCCGCTTGGATATTTACAAGGGAATGTAAATTTAGCATCACTGTAAATTGAATAGAAATATTTCAACCTCCCACTACCTCACAAGATACTTCAAGGCAAAACTCACTGCTATGACAAAAGATTTGAATTAATTGACATTTATGTTTATAGTTAAATGAATGAAATATGTGAGTGTGATAGAATTATAAAGAATACTAAGATAAGTCAAAATTAGGTATCGGTTATAAAAACATAAATATTCTATGGTATCTTTAATTTTATGATAGTTTTATTAGGTTAGTTGTTTACTCTGATTATTTTTATAGCTTGACAGTTATGTTTGAGTAATTAAAAGCCATCAAATAGTCCAGATAAAAGTTTAGCTGCAAGAAATCATAGACCAATTTTGTGTTTCTGAACTTCTTCAAATACAACCAAATATGAGTGGTTCATTATCAAAACATTTTATTTAACTACAAAAGTTATTTCTTGACTTCAGTCTTGTAACTCATGTATGATTGCTACCATTAGAATTCCTTCACTTTGAGGAATTCTAGGAGAGGAAAGAAAAATCTAAAGATATGTTAATTAAATGTAAAAATTCATTCTTGTTGAATAAACTGTTATGCCTATTTTGATTATATTCAATAATATATTTGGTTAAAGTTATGTCATACGATTTTGGAACCAAAATTCAACATTTTAAAAAATTACTCAGACTAACTTAGTCAATTAGTTTCAATAACTTCCCTTCATAACAAAAACACTGAGCAAAACCCCTCTATATCCTCAAATAAAAGAAAAATCCTCATTAAATACAGAAAATTAGATATCATTATATTTTAAGCACATTTAAAAAGTAGAACAAACTAAAATTCCATAATTGATCTAAATTTTAAAACTTATAACTGCTAACCTTTTACGGTCATTTCTAAAGTACAAACATTTCCTTTTATTTAAAGTATTTATCTTTGCTTCAAAGTTACCAAGAATCTATTACATTACTTTCAAAAAGATCTAAAAACAGTTAAAAATTTTGTATTGTATTTCAATGGTTAAAGCATGTATATGAGGGGCCAGGGATTTAGCTCAGTGGCTCAAGCACTTGCCTGATAAGTGCAGTGTTGTAAGTTTCAACCCTGGTACCAAACAAACAAACAAATAAAAACATGCCATGTGTATGATATCAGGGACACACGATGAGGATTTTGAGGTTTTGGTCAATTCTTATTAACATCAGTTTTACTAATTATGTATAAAATCAATTTTAAAATGATATGAAATAGAAACCAGATTACAAAATCAGAATTCCCATGGTTCTTTTGGTTCATAGAACATAAATTTGCTTGTGGAAGAAATGTTCATGCCATTAAGCAATAGCAAAAAAAAAAAATCAATTTTCATTTATAAAGTAAAATAGCTGTTCTAGACCAATCAGCAAAAATACATTTACTGTATTATGTTGTTCATTGGGATTTAGTTTTATATCTGGATGCCATACTAACTAAATGAAAGACACATTAAAGTAGCATAGGGGACCATTAAGATTCTATTAGCAAAACTTCTCACATTTGATACTAACATAAGCTTACCTATGACAAGTTTAGACACTAGGCCTACTTTATTTCTGACTGATCACTACTGGTAGATTGATATATATTAGATATTGTGAGTAATTATTCTCTGTTTATATATTTGGACCTCGGTGTGTCCCTATTTTCTGCTGAGTAAATTTTATTGGTCCTATATGTTGTCTGGTGGGTGAGGGAGAAAAGGTAGAGAGAGAGAGCGAGACAGAGACAAAGACAGAGACAGAGACAGAGACAGAGACAGAGACAGAGACAGAGAATAAGATGGAGATTATTCTAGGGTTACCACTATATTCAATAGTCCAGTTACAGATGTACTAAGGAATGTTGCTCAGTAAAAAAGAGAGTTAATGTTTGGACTGGCTTAAGATTTAGCTTTTCTGGGAAGAAAGATTATAAAACAGAGTATAAACAGCTCTTGCCTTCCATGAAGTTTTTAGGAAACTTTCCTTACCTACAAGTCTAACAATCTGCAGTCAGATTGTGGCAAGTCTATTTGTCAAATGCGTACAGCTTGAATTTACCTCCCTCAGTCTATTTGAAGGAAGCAGAATGCTTGTTCTTTTTAAAGGGGAGAATTAAGAGATAACATTTTGACTAAATAAATGGTGATAACCTACTACAAACAATAGTTTGGCCTTTTACCCAGATCAGTACTTTAACTTTTTCATCAACACTTAATTGCTACTGGGCCCCAGTGGATTGAGACCACAACCCCTTTCAAGAGCGAATGAAGTTACTTCTTAAAATGCAAAACTCAACGGAATATATGCTCATTTACTTGCACATGAGGAAATCATAATTTGTCTCTTAGATTATGACCATACAAGGGCAAGACGATAAGCTAATACTAGGTTTAACCAAAAGAGGGCATCATAAAGCTCCTGTGGTTGTAAAGACAAACACAAAAAGCCTTCAGTCTTGATGAGTAGACATCTCATGGCCCTGGCATTTTGTACTTTATGCCAAGACCAGTCATGAAATCACACATTATGGAGAACAGCAGGTTGGTTCTTCATGTTGGAATTGATCACTCAGTCAAAATTAGGTATCGGTTATATAAACAAACTCAGTGTTCAGAGTTCCCAAGATGTGCACCATTAGAAGGAAGCATTTATCACTGTATTATTTTTCAGAAACATTTCGAGCTTAGGGCTTTATAGAGCACTGAGAAGATTTTCTCTCAGGCCAGTGTACACGCTGTCTTCAAATAGAATGAGAATCTTTAGTTCACTTCCTAAGGGTGCCTTCACTTGAAGGGGTTCTCTGTAAGGACTGGTGGTGAACAGTGGCAGTAGGTGGCAGTAACTTCTCCTGAGATCACAGAATTAAATGCATTTGCAGAACACTGGACATAGTTTAAGGTAGACTTTTAAGGTCTTTTAGCAACAGAAAACTAACAAATGTGCATTAAGTGAGGAGAAAACGTCCTCACACTATTCATAAGTATATTTGCTACATTTTAAAACTTCTTTTATAGTGGATGTAGGATTTAAATCATAGCTAAGTGTTTGGGGAGATTTCATATTTTGCTTGTCTATAGACAAATTCCTTCAGAGAGGTGGGAAAGAGTAGTTGCAGGCTTTTAAGCAAAAATTTCAAACTGGTTTCAGAAATTCACTATCCTGGAGAATACATTATTCTCAGAATCACTGACATTAGCAGTTAAACCAGAGAGGCTGGGGATATGTATTTTGCTTTGTAGTAAGGACAGCTGTTCAGGAGGAGGAAATGTAAGTTCTGAGAGAATGATCATCTTGGAAAGATTTCAATGCCTGGAAAAATATCACTACCACATGCAGTAAGTGCCATTGAGGGGAAACCTAGGTGGGAAAATAGTTTTACATTCCACTCAGATTAAAAAGAATAATAATACCAGAAACAGCCTTAGAGTGGATACAAGTGACTGCCATCTAACAGTACTAAAATCTAGCAAGGTGTTCTATTTACTTAGATGCAATATCAAAGCAAGTAAACAAGATAATTCTTTTCCTCTCCAGAAATGTCATTTACTACCTAGTATAAAACGTTGTGTAAGTCGCTTCATCTGTCTTTCCTCCAGAAAACAATCAAACAGGAAAGATGAATACTCAAACATCCCCACTTACTTTTGCCAACGTACATCAGAGAAGCCGAAACTGGGATTAAACAGATTTGGGGTGGGTTCACTGCAGTTTCTTACCCTAGACTCCAAATGTGATCTGAGTGCTCATTTCCCAGAAGGCCTGCACCCTGGTCTCTCGGCCCCAGGAATCCAGCCCCAGGTTCTCGACAGGGAGTTAGACAGAGGGAGCAACCACCTTGATTCCCTGCAATAGTTTTTCACCTTGGTCTTCATTCACTCAACCACTTGTTACTCTCTCACGGGCTTTTCAGAGAAAACATTAGGAAATGAATCGCTACAGTAGGGGAAGAACTCAAGGGAGGATTCCCAAGGGATGATAGCGAGCTTTCGGGCCCCCCTTGCACGTTGGCGCCCGCTGTTTACCCGCCTGGCCGCCCTCGGCCCACTTCCCTTTCCTCCCCCAGAGGAGGAGATGGTTAAAGATTACACTGCGGGCTGCCGGCACTTCAAAGGGCGGCTCGGGCAGCCAAAGGTAAAGATAACATTCTGGCAGCTCTAATCGGGGTTTGTGGTTGCCACATTTTAATCACTTCGTTAAAAAAAAAAAAAAAAAACAAAGAAAGAAAAGAAAAAAGTTACATTACCCCCCTGCTAGGGATGCAGAACGAGTCCCTTTGGAGCCAGGGAAAGTTTACAGCCCATCCTTTAGCGACTGGACACCGAGAAGAGAGGCTGGCTGGGACAGGGACCAGTCAGGCACGCCGCCCTTGAGTTCCAGAGTGCACAGATGCCCACTCTGCACACAAATGCTTGCATGTGGAGGAATTCGCCTGCTGCGTCTGGCTGCGCCGCGCTAGCTCCTGCCGGGGCTGAGTTAGGAGTCGCTGCTCCGCGGGCGCGCTACCCTGGAGACACGTGCCGCTCCCTCCTGGCCCAGACAGGTCCAGCCAGGATGCCCAGGGCAAACTCGCTCGCCCCCTCGACAGCAGAGCCCAGGATCCCCTCGCCTGGCCCGGACTAGCTCCCTTCCCGTTTGAGCCCTTCCCGGAGTGAGGCAGAGGTGCACTTACAGGTAGGCGGTGAAGACGCTGAGGTTGGAGGGCAGCTCCGCGAGCCCCAGGTCGGAGCAGTCCACCCTGAGCAGCATCCTGCCGTCCGGCTCGCACTGACAGTGCGCGGGGCAGCCCCGCGGTAGCGCGCCGGGCCTTGGCGAGCCGCCCCCGGCAGCCAGCTGCAGCAGCACCGGCAGGGACAGGAGCACGCCGACGCGGGAGGTGTCCATGGTGCCCGAGGCTAGGAGCAGGAAGCCAGGCGCCGGCAGAGGGCAGAAGCCCGGCTGTTGCAGACTGCGGCGCGCGGGGCGTCGCTCCCGGGGCTTCTGCAGCCCAGCGGGTGTCTGCAGCTCTGCGCGCCACGCGCCTGACCCCCGCCGGGGGCGCGGAGGAGAGCTCCGGGGGGACTGCGGGGCGCGCTGCTGCCACGCCGGCCTCCCGAGCAGCCTTCGCTGCAGCCCAGGCGTTGGCAGCGCGCTCCTGCTGCAGGCGGCCTGAGTGTGTGGAGCAGCATCTCAGCTCGCACGCTCCTTTTTTAAAAGCGCTCAGGCCCGAATTGCGCGCCCAGTGACGTCAGCGAGCCCAGCTTCCCGGGCACCCCCACCTCGGCCCCACTTTCGCTCCTCCCGTCCCCACCCTCCTTTCCAGAGACCCGGCGGGGAGGCGTGAGGTGCGGGCGACTTCTCCAAGCTCCCACGGAGCCTCCGGGGAAGAGTCCAGCGCACGGCGCCACGCGCCTGGAAGGGACCCCTCTGCTCCCACTCTGTCCGGCTTCCTGGAGACCCAGATCCGAGAACTGAGAGGCGCCCGCTTCAAGAGCGACCTGGGTAGACCTAAGTGCAGGGAGAGAGCGAAGGACGAGGCACCCTCCTCCGAGCCCGCCTCCGATAATGCAAGGGATGCATGGAGTGCTTAAAAAAGAGACTAAAATCTAATGAAGAAAAATAGTTGTCAGTATTAAAAAACAGGTGTTCTCCGCGAAGATGCGTGGCTGTTTTGATCTTTCACTGTCTGGCTTGCAGAGCCAGCACCCGGGTGCTGCCTTCCTAACTCCTAGAGGTGTGGAAATCGAGGACACTTTTAAAAAGTGTTAGTTTAGTTACTGGGGAAGTAGCCTTTAGTAAAATGATGCAGGACAGACAGTTGCCTTTGGTTACTTCAGAAGACTTTTCATGCTAAGTGCCCCAGTTATAGTCTCTGAACAAAGAACAATTCCACGCAGGTGAGCCTCACTGAGTTCCTGGCACCCTTGGGGAGCCCTGGTGGAAATTCTAGTAGAAAACATGCACTTCAAAAACTGTCCTACGTGAATCTGCTCTAGGAAGTGGGGAACATACTCAGGGCTTTCTTGGAGAGAAAACCTCAGTGAGGTAAAACTTGCCCTCTCCACACCAGAGGGAGTTCCGGAAAGAGCTGTCTGCCCAAGCCTGCCATACCACCTACAAAAACGCAGTTTTTACTCTAGAGTGCAAAGCTTCTTTGCTTTTGAAATCAGGGATCACTTTGACTTTCAAGGTCCCTCTTAATCGTCTACGTAGGTTATCTGCCCGGGTTTCTGAATTTTAAGATGGAAGGATTCTTATTCGTGTGTGTGTGTGTGTGTGTGTGTGTGTGTGTGTGTGTGGTGTATGCTCCTTCTTCGTTTATGGAGTGATCTCCAAATCTGCTTATTTCTTTGCTGTGTGTGTGTTTTCTAAATTTGTTCTGAACATGTTCTTCTCTTAGGTAAGTCCAAACATCAGCAAGTTGGTGATTCTCTAAAACAGAAGGGAAGACAGTGGAGAAGGATTACAGACTATGTCCTCCTTTTGCAAATAAAGGAACGGTGACCCATGATTTGGGAAAACATGACAGTGCCACCATCCATGTCCGCTCCCACCAATTGCTTAGTTTCACATTAGTAATTTTTCTATTAGCCATTTCTTCCACATTTATAGAGGGCCTCCTAATTGCCTATTTTCATTAAAATCATCTTATCCTTGGATTATTCATTTTATTATTATTCAACTCATAACTTATCCTGTCTATGATTCTTGAAGAGCTACACCTGGGATGCCTTGGAGAGGTAAGTACATCACCTTATGGGATTTGACACCCTCTGAACAGGAATTCCAAGGGTGATGAAGATATGTTCTAATTACTATACCCTTTGGTCTTGGACTTTTCCTGAACACATATTTGCCTGGTTTTTCCAACTTTTGTAGAAAGGCACTAAGCTTCTTAACTTTTTTACTTGTAAGAGTCAAACTACAGACTCATAACAGTGAATACTAACAAATATTTGTTGACTGATTGATTCATTAACATAGACTTCCAGATATGGTAATCCCATCTAGCCTTTTGAGAACACTGAAAAAGGGGAAGTGGCGATGTACTCCTGTGTCTCATTTACTTGGGAGGCTGAAGCAGGAGGAATGCAAGTTTGAGGCCAGCCAGAGCAACTTAGATACTATCTCAAAATAAGATAAAAAGTGCGGAAGATGTAGCTCAGGGCTCCCTGGGTTTAATCCCCAGTATCAAAAAACCCCAGACAGACAAAAATAACAAAAAAGCATTGAATAACACTTTCTTTGATGTCGGGGTTGCTCAAAGGAGCATAATGCTTTGTTGTGGAATGAATTGAGGCAGACGTGTATCTTAATCTTGGGTCTTCCAGTTTCAGGCTGACTGATTGATCACAGACAGAATGATCCTATCGCAGTCTCACTTTCCCTCTTTCTAAAGGGAGTATTATTTACCTAGGTTCTTCTGAATGTTAAAATACCTGGAAGTTTGCCTAGAGTAGAGCAGATTTTTAGCCTGTTAGCATGTTTCTTCTTCTCGTGAAGATTTGAAGCTTCTCATCAAATGAAATGAGAGCAAGAGATTTCTGATTTAAAAATCAGAAGGAAGGGGGAAGACGGATCTGCTCGATAAGACCAAGAGTAATGAACATCTGTTACTTTTTTTTCCTTTGCATGCCCAACATTTCTCCCCTTTCTTTTTGGTGAGGGCCCTCCACGGTTGGTTTTCCTTTGGGAACTGCCTCTCAAGCCTTGAGGCTGTCAATCATATGGCTCCACCTGCCTGTTCTGGGATAGGAATGTGACTCCAGGAGAATACTCAGATTTGTTTGGGGGATTGTCATGGATCTTGGAATGAGGGAATTTTCCACTCCTCTAGTTTTATGAGCATTAAACACAAAAACCCAACTTCATGAGGATCTCATTGGTATCTCAGAGAGAAATTTCATTGACAATGGAATATTAGCATGGACAAGGACAAAAGCAAGGTCCTAACCATCTTTTGGGTACTGGGGATCTAAAACCATTTCTGCTGTGTAATCACCCAACTGGACAAATATATGAATATTTTTTGAGTTAGAGAGTGAAAATTCACCCATAATCACTTATAATTGAACATGCTTAGTAAAAACCTGAAAACTCTGCAAATATGAAGGGTTGAGAAGGGTCTGACGAATCTTCAAGGTCTTGTAGACTTAGTCACAGAAACTCATGTGGGTTGAAAAGGAGAAGGAAATGCCTGATGGTGACTTTCTTTCTTGAATGAATAGATTTTAACCACTTAATTTATGAAGACAAATACAACAAACCTGATTTCTTGCACACTAAAAACATTTCAATAAGGCAGTAGTCACTCTGTTTTGTAGAAAATACCCCCTCATTTATGAGACAGTTTTCAAATGTCCTGATAATGACCATCATTGACTTATTCCTTGCAGTCACGTGCTCTCACTGTGTCCTCAGAAGAGGTGGAAAAGATTCTTACTCCATGTTTAAGGATGAGAAGTGCAGGTGGGTTTTCTAATGGTGGTCAGCAAGTTAGTAGTGGAGCCAAAATTCTAACCTGAGTTTTTTGAATTTAATGTTGTTCCCTTTTCCTTTTTGGAGGGGGGGAACTTGACCCACATATAGCTTAAACTGGATACAATCTTGTGATTAACTGTCCTTTTTTTGAGAATGAAATTTATATACATTTGTTAAGAAAAGTTAGGTCTGTTTGAATTGCAGTAGCATCAGTTGGAGTAGGGTGGTGTTTTTTTAACGCGAACAGTGTGTGTGTATATATATACATATATATATATGCATGTATAGCCTTTATATACACATATATGCATACACACATATATAGATATACATGTCTATGTATGTCAGGTTTCAACAACCAGTTGACTCATAGGAATACTGGTGAGTTGCCAGAGAAAAATTCTACCCCCTCTTAATGTAATAATAAGGGTTAGTAAAATTAAATTCATTTAGTATTTGTTTTTGATAGTTTTTATTTATGACCTTGGAAAGTATTTCAGTGTTAATGAGCTGCTGAAAAATGGAATATATTATCCTAGGATAAAAATCACCCTTTACATTTTAGGCACTTAGAGTGAAAGTTCCTAAAAGTGATTTTGTTAAAGTGTAGTCTGGTACATGTCAACTTTCTGGGTTTGCTGAATGCATGTTTTCCTAATTCTTTTATCTTTGATAGAAGTCCACAGTTAAAAAGTTTCACATACACCATGAGAATTACTAATAAGCTTAGTTGAAGCATGCCAGGATAATTTTAGTTAAAAGGTAAGTCAATATTTCTTTTACAAGTATAGTGAAACAGTGTTTACACAACTGGTGGGCTATTATGGGCTTATTTAACTTGTTTGAAGGAGTATAGAACCCATTATTTGCCCTGTTCATTTTACATTCATGATATAATCAGGCTGATGATGAATTTCTTAACTTCCTTTTACCAACAAAGTCTAATTAATTGAGAAGGGAGGAGGCGAATTTAGGCATAAAGATCTATTTTCTTTCAGAATGGTGTATTCTGTGAGAAAGCATTAGTTCAGTTAATTTATTACTTTGAAATAACTTATTAGATGAAATCAATTTGATTTGTCTTTGAGTTTATCCAACATAAAGATGACCTTTAAATACACCCACAAGTCTAAAGGAAAGGTGAGTGATGTATGATATTATCAATTCTTTAGTTCATTTTGGTACCTTTGTCTAATTTCATGTATGACAGTAAACATACTACTATTGGTATGCAGCTTGCTTCCCAAGAACATGTGTCCAGTCAAACTCAACATGTAAAACCAGACTCAGATTTTCTTTCCAAACTAAGAATAAAATTAAAGAAAAAAAACCACTTGAAATCCTGGAGTTACTATCCTTATTCACATGCTTTATTTAATTCTAACAAATACTTTGTTAATTTGTAGAGAAAGCCTTCCATATCTTTTTCTGCTTTTGTTAAAATTATACTTTTATGATTTTTAGTCATCTATCATGTTTACATGCTTATGAGGGACTCAGACAAAGCTTAGCTTGTGCTACAAAATGATGAAGTGCTAACAGGTTCCTTTTCACCAAGTTTCCCCCCCAAGTCTTATAGTCCGGCTTCATACAGATCTGCAAGGCCTCATTTGCAATTCCGAAATTTATATGCTCTAAAAGGGAAAGGCTTTTAAAAACACATCTGGTGACAGAATTTGACTGAAACCATGAGTTGACTTGTAGTCTTTCAATATTTCATGTAAAACTTATTCAAATTCTGCACATATATGGATATGTTCCATTGTAGGGTATGCCCAAATGCCACAGTGAGGACTTTCTATAATATAGGGAATATTGTTGCTAATATATTCTGTTTTTAAAAGCCTCTAGCATTCTGTAGCATCTGTGATCCTGACTATTTGGCTAAGAAATTATGGACCTGTCGATATCAGCAAACCCTGGAATATCTGTTTTCAGAAGAAAAAGATAAAGTGATTGAATTTATTGGATGAACAAAGAGTTGGGAGTAATGTCAACAGTAAAATCTGAGGAGAGGAGAAAGGAGGCCAATGGTCAGCTCAGGTGAGGTTTGTGGTCATTGCTGGACAGGGTGCCCTGTGCAGAATGCAGTGCAGATCCTCTTGTTCTCTTATTCTTGACAAACATTTATGAAACGCTGCTAGAAAACACTCTGTATGTCAGGAGTTAACTCTGGTAAGCATATTCTAGAAGAAAAAAAAGACATACATTGGAAAGTGATTGTGAACTAAGGAGAATCGATGAAGAATCTCAGTTAGGGGAACTAATTTGTAGATTTTATTCCATGGACACGCAGGATTTAAAATAAACAAGTACAGTGCATGCTATCCCCCAAACACTTTATTTTGATAAGTCTGGTGTATTTTAACTGAGCAGGTAGAGTAGTTTTCCCTACAATTGTAATCTCATAAAGCAGGGCAAAATATATTGCACCAACTTTGCAGTTCAAGTGAGTGAGTCATGGTGAAACACTGTCCAGATTGTGGCAGTTAAAATTTACAGAAACCTTTTATTAAGAGTTACTAGGTTTGTGGATTAATAAAACAAACTTGTTCACTTTCATTGTTTTTAGCAAAAAAGTAGCATTTTGATTTTTAATTTCATAGATTATTTTTCTTTTTATAGATTTTCTCTTGTATAGGTTTTGGATTGGCGTTTGACAGAAAGGTATCTCATTGTAGCTTCAAAAAAAAAATCCTAAATACATTTCCTGAGTGATGATGCCTTCTCCTTTCTTACCATCCTTCACTTTCTTTCACATCGCCGTATCTCTGGTTTTCCTGCTTCTGTTTTCCCCCTAACTTCCATTCAGAATTGCTGACAGTGGGTGGGAAGCATTGATTTAATCACCTATTGGGACAGCTTGGCATATTAGTACAGTAAAAATCTTAGGTTCTCTTATTCTTTGTTCTTTTGTTCTTGACCCAGGTTCAAAGCTTTACTGAGTCATTTATAAGGTATGGAACTTGCAGTGATTTCTTCCTAAGGCCCAATATCTTTATCTGCAAGACAAACATAATTGTATCAAGTCTGCAGAAATGTTAGTAGAAGGCGAGCTACTATGTTACAGGGCTTTGTGTGCACTAAGCATCTAGCAATAAAAGAAAAAAGGATTTTTCCATGTTTCTTTTTACAAGAGTTTTTCTTCTTGAAGAAATCTCTTCAGCTCTATAGGAAGAGATAGGAGGACTAAGAAAGGTAAATAGATCTTAGATCTTTCTTTCTTTTTCTTTTTTGTTTTTTTGTTAATTGCATGGGCGTTTGGAGCATTTAACAAGTTTTTACATGAAATCAAACAAAAGTGCCACAGACAAAAGTGCCGCAAAAGTTGGCATCCACTACACTTGGGAACAGAACATTTGCTAGGGAAATAGTCTCAAATGAATTATATTTGCAGGCCTTAGTTTCCAGTTTTAGTAAAGCCTTAACTTCCATTTTAGCCAAAATGTATTTACTCAAAGGTACTTCTTGCTATTGGAAGCCAAGAGCTGGAAATGTGTGATAAACAGGTAGAGAGAGCCTTCTTTCAGGTAATTCACCATACAGTTGAGAAAAGACCCAGAAAACAGAAAATTAAAATTCACTGTAATAATAGGGATGAAAATGCACTGATGTGGTCAAAAGAGAGAGAAGCAATCTCAGAGAAACAGTTCATAGAAAAAGTGCTGCTTGGAGTGAGTTCCTAAAGGTCAGCAGGAGCTTGTTAACTGAGAAAGAATAATATTAGATGGAGAAAAAAATGCAATTTTTAGACGATTAGCACAGACCCACTTTCGGGTGAATGTGTGTGTAGTTTCACAGCCTGGCATTAAAGTAGGGCTGGAAAGATGCATAAATACAGATAGATTGCAAAAAAATATTATTGTACACAGTTTTACTAAACTTGACTTGGTCCTGCATACCAGGGGCCAAAATGTCTATAGACAGGGGAATGGCAAAGTCACATTTTATCTATGGAAACTCTGTCATCATAGGAAAACTGTTGGAGAAATCCTAGATGAGCGGAAGTAGCAGGAATCAGGAAGCATTACTGATATGAGTGTACACTGGTGAGTAACAATTCTTTTATTGTTCTTTTTAAATTCTCTGTAAAGTAAAAAAATTGCTAAAATAAAAAATAAAAGGTGAGAAACACTGCAGTCTGTGTGTGGCAGTACACGTGGTAGGGGCAGGTGTTGCATACTTTGGATATTTCAGGGGCAGAATCTGCAGGGTGTGGTGTTAGGGTAGCTGTAATGTCTCTTTTGCCTCTAGCTTGGGAGACAGGGCAGACTATGATAATTTACTACAAATAATTAGCAGTTTTGAGTTCTTATTTGTGCCAGGTGCTATTGTAAGTCCCCTAAAAATTATTTTCAAAAAAATTTATTTATCTCAAAAGCCCTGTAGGATAAATATAATTACCTTCTTTTTACAAAAAAAAAAGACAAAGATAAGATCAGTTATTAAATAACTTCCAAAATTACCCTGGCAATAAATGGCATAGTTGACATCAAATCTGTAGTCCCTTTGATTCCAAAGTCATACTTTTGAGCCTTGGAAAGGCAATGGCTTTGAACAGAAGAAGATAAATTTGACTTTGGACACCCTGAGTTTGCAGTTGTGAAAAGATTCCAAAATGAAGGGTACTGAATCTAACATGTACCTTTGCACCTTCAAATGTTTCTGGATACGGATTCTTGGATTTGAGCCAGACATAAATTTTTGATCATAAACTTGATGCAATGCTATCTGTGTTTGTGTTACTCTCTCCTCATGGTAGACAGATGTCAGGCTCTAAATACTTGAAATTAAAGAGCTTAACCACTTTTTATGGCAAATATTTTTGGCAGGTGATTTTTAAGTTTCTTTTTCTAGTTAAGTCACATTGTGACTGAAATTTGATGCATTTTGAAAGTGGAATCATCTTTTCCCCTATTTTCAATGATATTAAGTGCCATATATTACCCCAGTTATTAAAAATGTTCTTTTATATAGTGACTTGCATAATTTTCTTGTAACATCAAGCTGTAATATAGTTTCTGACATTCTGTTAATGCTTGTATGACTGGTCAGGAACATAGATACAAGCTACTTAGTTGTAAAGATGTTGAAAGATAAACAAATATATAACAAGATAAAAGTATGCCCAATTTTCCCATATAATAATTGCTAATGATATTTTATATACTTCCTTTTAGCTTATTGTGTTCACATATTTTAATCTGTGACAATTTTCCACTTACAATGCAGAAATATTTCTTTTATCATGTAAAGCTTTAGTATATGCTTCATATTGTTTTTCATATCCTGTACATGAGGACATTGAGGCAGAGAACTTGAAAGACTGTCTTAAGTATGCAGTAAATTTGGCTCTGTCCTACACATTATGTGGTTTACAATCTGGAAGGAGGATTTCATGTTTAGACAAATAACCATGCTGGAGGATAGCATATGAGAAATTCATCAGAAGTTCAAAGAGTTTTAGGACTTGGGAGGCAAGAAGGAGTACGACCTGCTGGTTGAATCAAGGAGAGTTTTATAGAGCAGGGGGTATGTGAGACTGACCTTACGTGACGAGGAACAATTTGACATTAGAGAAAGACATTTGGGAACAGGAGACATGATGATGGGAGAGAGAACCTAATTGTGAAGCTATGATTTAGTCTGGTTAACTTTTGGAATTTTGGAAGGTTTATGAAGAGCAAAGCTATAAAGTTAAAGGTTAGGAGAATGTTGAGCTGATATGCAAATGTTTTATAGATGAATAAGTAGGAAAGAATTTAATCAGAATTAAGCCTTAGAAGGGTAATTGTAACAACGGAGCTTGGGACTGATGAAGGAGGAAGGTGGCAGAGGGACCATTGATTCAGTGTATGCTTACTGATTTGGTACAGATTATTATATGTGAGAAGCACATGTATCAGATAAAGTTTCCAAGTGAGCTAGTTAGAGAACAGTGATGTAATTTAAAATGAGCAGATTTGGAGAATAGTCAAGATATTACTGTGCTGAACACGAGCAGCCTGAGACTCACTTGTGTATTCAGGCTGGTGCTTCAGAGAGAGGCGGGGGGGAGAACTGGGAATTGTGATTGTGGTGATCTTGATATTGACAAATCAAAGATGTAGTGTGGGAATTAAATTGTGGAGGAAGAAACTGTAGATAAATATCTAACATTTCTTAAACACTATACATTAGGCGCTGTGCAGAACACTTTACAGGTACTATCTCATTTAATCTTCACAACAATCCCATAAGGCAGGTGCTATTAATCGTATTCCTCACATAGATACCCATTTTATAGTGAAGGAAAATGAGGCCCTAGATCACAACCACAAAGTTTTAAATCTAGGGTTGTACCTCAAGCAGGCTGACTTTAAACCCTGTGTCAATCTCTATTTTATGCAGCTTCCCAGAGAGAAGAGAGAGAACACAAACTGGGATATGCATGAACGCTTTGGGGCCCAGGAAGAGAAGTTAGTAGGACCAATGAGGAGCAGTGAGAAAAGAACATCAGAGAGAAGACCAAGGATGAATAAGCCTCAGTCAAGTGCTACAGGCATTTTGTCAGGAAAACTGTCACTGTTAGTTTGAATCAGGTGCTTAACAAAATAATGTCAAACTAATCAGTTGCCTAAAATAACAATTACAAAGGACTTTACTATACCCTAAATGCAATTTAGCAGGAATTTATTGACAACTGCTACAGATTAAAATATGCTATACATAGATAGTGAAAAAGGGATGTTTATTCATTGACTATTGATTAAGAATTTACCCTGGGCTAGGCACTGTGTTTGGCATTAACAATATATTAATGAGTAAAGCAGAAGGTCCCGGACCTCTTGGAACCTATGGCTTAGTGGGGCTGGTAGGCACACACACACACACACACACACACACACACACACACGCACACACATGCACACATGCGCGTGTGCACACATGTTTACAAATTGTGCTGAGTTCTATGAAAGACCTTTTTTTGGAAGCATGATTCACCAATGAGGAAATAAAGTAGAATTCCATACAAAAATGAGCTCCATTTCTTAGAAGGGTTTGTGTACTTTTTATTAATTTGTTTAGTAAACCTTTTCAGGGGTAGGTGAAATAAAACTATTTCAAGTACTAATAAAATTATTATCTTCTATTATGCAGTTTTACTTTTCATCACTTTTTTCTTCAGGCATTTTTCCCTTTCTTTACTTTTCCTTTATCTGTGAGGTTGAAACCTTGTGGTGGCAGCTTTCTCTTTGCCTGTTCATTCAAGGGGCAAGAAGACCAAAAAATGAAATCAAAGAATCATATTAATAAATGACAGTGGAGCCAAGGCAGGGGTTTTCACCTCAATTTCAGAGTTTGCTTTGACTATTACAGAAGGTGGATGTGTGTGTGTGTTTCCAAAAGAGACAGGTGGATATATTTAGTGACTGAATTTTCTTACATATTTATTAAGTTGAAGTCTTTTAAGGGCAAGATCAGTATTTCCTATGAAGTGTTATAGAGCCTCTTGAGTGACCACTCTAGTGCCACGTCCTTATGGACATTCAGTTGTCAACAGCTGTAACAGTGACTGCTAGTGTTGCTTTATATTGTTGATATGTCTACGTACAAAATATCAAAAGAAGTTGTATTTTTCCATGAAATTCAAGATGTTTGACAATGTGCTTTTCATTGTATTTGCAAGTGCTAATGCTTTCAACCTTCACACAGAGAGCTTGTGCTTCTAGCTCAGGACAGAACATGTGGAGAGGCTCAGACAAGCCTTTTCGGGAGCAACAAACAGTTGTTTAAGTGACATAGAAGGAAAAGGTAGATATCACTGTCATTGGAATTGGAGACAAAGAACAAGGGAGCATTTTATAAAAACATGAACAACTTAGTTTATCATAGGGTACAGATGCAAAATACATATAACACAATTTCTAAAATTAATTTGCCTTTCCTTAGGAACCAGAGATAGGCAACTTTTTAAAATTTAAAGCATTTAAAATGTAAAACTTTTATTTTACATACTGTAGAACAAAGAAAATAACAACAACAACAAAAGTCTAGTGAAAGAATATTAAATGAAATAATTGCTAAGGTGGTTGATTTTGAATGCTAAATATTGCTTAGGTTTAAATTCTAGTGTGATATATAAACTAAACTTAATGAGGCACTGTAGAAGGAATGTATTTGTCTAGTATGTTGCACACACTTGTGTATATATGTGTGTGTGTGTGTGTAAGACATAGACTGATGTTATGGTATAGGACCAACTATTATGTATGTTACAATAGATTTTGTTACATAACCACATTTTTGAAACTTAAAGTTGCTCCACTTTGTGCCAGCAGCCTTAGGGCTTTCATTATGCTTGGGAGGTTAATTAACATCTATTTCTGGCCTATGAAAACGATTCCATCATTTTTATTACTTGACAAATAGTTATTGAATACCTACTAAGATAAGACTCTGTTCTTGGTTTTGGAGGCCCAGTAAGCAGGCAATGATCTTACTCGTTACATTCCAGGAGAGTTTACATTCAAGAGAGGCAGGTAATTAAGAAACTAGACAACCAAAATATAAAGAATACCAGGGGCTATTAGCTGAAAAGAAAAGAAAATAAAAGCACAGAGGCAGGCAGTTTGGGAAGGTGACGCAGAGAGTGTGAACTGCAGTTAGAGCAGGAGAAGGCTCATGGAGGGAGGGTGACACCCAAGCAAAAAAGCGGCAGAGTCAGACCTTAACAGGCCTGCGTGGGGGAAAAGGCAGCAGCCAGAAGATACAGCAGATAGCCAGGCCCGTAGGCAGGTAGGAGCAGGCCTGTGAAAAGCAAGAGTCCAGTGCAGCTGGCGTGCATAGATGAGGGTAGAGGAAGTCAAGATGGTCCCTACTGGCCATTGTAAAGTATCTAGGCCTCCAGGTTTTACTTAGAGATGGAGAGCCAGAGGTGAAGAACAGAGGAATGATTTGATTTCCATACAAAAGAATGATCATTTTGGGTTGGGAATACCTCTACAAATAGAGGTAAAGGAAAAGGCAAGGCTGTTGTAATCCAACTGATGCCTCCAGCCAGGGTGGTAGCCGTGGAAATGACAGTGGGTGCACTTGGAGTTGGAGGTGGGAAACATGGGACCTGTGAGACCGAGGGAGGAATCGAGGAAGAAGCATTCAAGGTTTCTGACCTGACCAACTGGAAGGACGGAATTGCCATGAATTGAAATGGGGAAGACAATTGGGAAGAAAAGATTTGGAGAAAACACAAGAAGGTTGGGGCTGGACATTTTGATTTTGAGAACATATTCAATGTCCAAATAGAAACCGTGGGTAGTTGAGTTGATGTGTCTGGCATTCAGAGAACTCTAGGCTGGAAATTAAAACTTGACCTTTGTCAGAATGTAGATTGTACTACAAGCCACAAGATATTTTGAGGTCACTCAATGCATGCCTGAACGTGGAAAAGGGAAGAGACTCAAGGTCTGAGCAGGAAACACTCTGAAGGCCACCTGGAAAAAGGCCAACTGTAAAGGGTACACGCTGAAGTGTTGTCAGTAAGTATTCAGAAGCAGTAGCCAGTGAAGAAGAAGGAAAACTAAGAGAAAGTAATGTGTGGAAGCCACTGTATGACACTATTTCAAGTTGGAAGGAAGGCCAATAGCAAACATTTTCCTAATAGATGCAAGATGAAGAAGTGCAATCATGGGTTTAGCACTGTTCCAATCACTGACAACTTTGCACATGAGACACTTCAGTAGAGCTCGGGTCTCGTAGTGGGACCTAAGTGGAAGTAGGGCTAGTGTCTTCAAGTGTTAGAAGTAAGGAGTGGATTAATTTAATGTTGGCAAATATGCGAGATGCACACCCTAGATATTTTCTCAGCAAAAAACCTAAAACATATTTGAGATATTGAGAAAAAAACAATGCCAATGAATGAATTCAATATCATTTGTGCCCGGCACTGTATCCAAATGCTTTAGGTATTCAATTTTGTTTGAGTTTTCTACAAGAATATGAATTGTTATGAAATTATTTCCACTTTATACATAAAGAAATTGAAATTTTCAGACTTCTAGAGGTCCTTCCAAAATGACATAATGAAAAAGTGACAGGAATGTTGGAACGTTGGAAATATTTTTGTGAGACTTACGCCAAACAGTTATGTGGTTCATAAGGCATATTGTTTGTTTTTAAATTCAGTAGTCTTATCCTTAATTAAGTTGAAGTTTTTTCATCCCATTTATTTCATGTGTCTTTATTTCCTAACATCTAGCACTTTAAAAATATCTAGGCGTACTAACTGGGTTATTAAGTAGTTTTTGGTACTTTATTTTTGGATGCAGAAAACTATCCAAAATATTTCAATGAATGGAATAGATTAACAAGTTCAATTACTTTAAAAATTTGAGAAAATATAATTTTTTGGAATAATTGCTATTTATAATAAAGGTTTATTTGGAGGAACTGGATTACATTTTTAGAAGTGCGGTGCTTAAAATCATGGTATTAAGAAGACATTCTGCACCCAGCATACTCATTTCATGCTCACAGCGTCTCTGTGGGATGGATAATGTTACTATACATTTTATATATGGAGAACCCGAGGTTAGAAAAGTTGAGTAAATTGCCCAGAGTCACAGAACGTGTAAGTAGTTGAGTAAGAATTGACCCTATGTCCTCTGAAATTACATTCCATGCTCTTTCCACTACAACATGCATGTAAATTCAGTTAATACCAAAGCTCAGCTTGAAATATTATATCTTTACTCATCTGTGTAAAATTGATTCCCTCATTTGATGCACCATTATACCCTAACAGCTGGTGCCACAGGGGCCAGCGTTTTTAGGAAGCATGTATACATTTTTTAATTAGACATATGTTCTTTGAGAAGCATGTGAAAGGGTTGACTTTTTTTTCATTATTAGGATTGTTTTCCCATAACCTGAGAGAGGAAAAAACAGGTTTGCTAGTGCCTGGTTGTGCTTTACATAGTTGCTAACTCTTTTTGAGGCTGTATCTCAGACTGATATGTTGATAGGGATCTGGGGTGAACACAGAGAGTGACATGGGCTCTGGAGCATGCCGTGAGTACACTGGGATTGTTTCCCTAGAATGAATTCTATAACTTCCCATTGCCTCTGAGTCTCACATTCCATTCACAACAAATTTGTTTCTTTGTGCCAGAATGCCATTCCTGCCTTTTACTTTTCAAGTTTAAGCTTCTACTCTATGACCAGAATGGTTTATTAAAATGCAGCTCCAACAATCCAATCATATGCTTCAAATTCCTCACCTTGCATTTAAGACAAAATACCACTCCCTTCACACAGCGTCCAGTGCCATATAACTCTAGTTCCCTCCCTATCTCTAACCTCCACCAGTGCTATTTCCAGAGATGCTACAGCTCCCAGGTCCTTGTACAATTCTGCTAAGGCTTTTTCTTGAGGCTCACATAATACTATTTCTCCTGTCTAGAACATGCTTTCTTCCATTTTCATACAGGTTCTATATTCTCAGAGAACTTCCTGATCATCCAACCTACATCAGGCCCCTTTGTTATCATTTCTCTTTTCTTCAAAATATTTGTTACAAATTAGAATGATATTTTATTTGTTTATTTTACATCATCTTCCCCATGACTGTAAGCCACACAGAGTCAACTTCTAGGTCTGCTTTTTTCCACCAATGCCTGACATATAATAGATGTCAAGTAACATTTCTTAAATAAATGAATGCCATTTTTTTTTTTTTTTTGTGGTACTGGGGATCGAACTCATGACCTTGCTTTTGCCAAGCAGGTACTTACACCGCTGAGCTAAATCCCCAGCCCTGAATGCCATTTTATAAACTGTTTTTTTTCAGCCTTGGAGATAATAAAAATATCCCACATTTGTTTTGCACTAATATCTAAATATTGTGATCTTACAAATCAGTTGGTCCTTAAACTGGAACAAAGATCTGAGGTCCATGTATGTAACATGGATACATAAGAATACTTTATGGATGAGATGCTAAATCCCTGTTCTACTGCATTTTATTTGCTGTCTTAAAAATTAAATGTTATATAAAGAGCACCAAAAGTTTCAGTTAACTATCCATCATCTTCTGTCATACTATATCCAGATATCCTTATATTATGGAGAACATTGTGCAGCCAAGAAACTGAAGTATATAAATGGACCATCGTG